TATTTTTTTCATGCCATTATATTCATAAAATTTTTGTAATCAGTGTTTAATAAAGAGATTGGTCTGTAATTTTTTATTTGTGTTGTATCTGTTCCTTCCTTCAGTATCAGCGAAATGTATGCTTCTCTCCATGAGTCTGGTAGCTTTGCCTCTATTAATGCCTCATTACATATTTCTAATAATATCCAATCCAATGTTTCTCCTAGTCCTTAATAAAATTCGCTTGGTAATCCATCAGTCCCTGGGGTTTTATTATTTTTTTGTTTTTTGATTGCTTTTTGTCAGAGGTAATTAGCCCTGTTACCTTCCTGGGGTAATTGCCTGGATCGTGGCATTCTCCTTGTGTATACTTTTGATAAAATAAAACCGGAATACATCTTCTAATTAAACTCATATTTATTGTAAAGAAAATAAAACATCTAACTATCTAAATATTTAATTAAATTGTTACACTTTTGCAAAGTTTCTACCGGCTATTTCTCAGCCGGACTTCTCTGGCAAGAGAAGAAAGAAAAGTGTGAAGTGGAAAGAAAGGAATGCAGATACACGTAATATCAGTTACTGATAAGAAATTTTGGCAAGCTACGGAAAGTCTGACAGTCCAGAAATAATGAGCTCTGCTGGTAAATACAAAAACGCAGTGACACTTCTCTTAGCTTTTCTATAGTGATATCCCTGTTTAATATCTCCTTTTCTTCCTCTGTTAAGGTCGACATTCCCTCTCCACTTAAATATTTATTTATTTCTTTGTCTGTCTCTCTATCTTGCTCATAAAGTTCATGAAAAAACTGGTATGTTATTTCTTTTTTCTTTTCTAAATTGTATTGCATTTTACCCCTTTTATTCTGTAATTGCTGAATTATTTTTTTCTCCCTTTCTTTTCTCAATCTGTAAGCAAGCCACCTCTCTGATTTGTTCGCGTGTTCAAAATAGTTCTGTTTTATAAATTTCAATACCTTTGCATAATTTTCCTGTTCCAATATATTCAATTTATGTTTAGGTGCTATCCATTTACCTTTAATTTGTTCATCCTCAGGTTTGTCTTGTAATTTTTCTTCCCAATTTTTGATCTCTTCCTGCACATTATTATATTCTTTTTTCCTTTCCTTTTTTCGTTTTGCCTTATAAGCTATTGTTAATCCTCTTGCATAGGCTTTCATTGTGTCCCACAGCTTCTGAAGGAAGGTGTGGTTTTTTGTGTTATCTCTGAAAAACAACTCTAATTCCTTTTTCATTTGCTCTATATATTCCTTTTCCTTCAGTATCTGTGGGCTCAACGCCCATCTACTCTTTTTCCTTTGATGTCCTTTCCATATCAACATTACACGGTTATGATCAGCCCAGTTATTTGACATTATTTCTACTGTTTCTACCTTTTGTATAAGTGTCTTGGTTACCCAAGCTATGTCTATTCTGGACCAGGATTTATGAGGATTGGAATAATATGTAAATTTCTTTACCTCGGGATTGTAAAATTTCCAACCATCTATTAAATTTAATTCTTCTACTAAATCCATAAAAGTTCTAGGAAGTACATTTTTCTTTTTTTTATTACTCTGATCACTGCTATAATCCTTTTTTACATCTACAATTGCATTGAAATCTCCAATCAAGCATATATTCTCTGTTTTTTCTTCTATTATCTTTTCATGTATTTTTTTGTAAAATTCTAATTGTCCACTATTCAGCACCAATAAAATATTTCTATTTAAATTTTACCTCTATCATAAATATTCTTCCTGCTGAATCTGCATATCTCAACTTACACTCTATTCCTTCTCTAATGTACACCACTATTCCTCTTTTCTTTTCTTCCGCTAGTGTTACAAATAATTCCCCTAATTTTTTACATTGTAAATATTTTTCATCCTGTTTTCTTATGTGTACCTCTTGGAGGCACACAATATCCATTTTTTGTTTTATCACTTTTCTAAAAATTTGATGCTGATTAGCCGGAAAGTTGAGATCATTTACATTTAATGATAAGATTTTTAAATTTTGTTCCATTCCTTTGTGGTTCTACTATGTGATATTTCCTATTACTTCCTGTCCTTTCTCTTAGCTCTTGTTTTCACTTCTTCCTCTTGAAATTCCCCTTCTTCCTCTTTATCTCCCTCCTCTAGTACCTTTTCTCGCTCTTCCTGTCTCTGAGTCCCTTTGGTCCTCCGTTCCGGCTCCTCCCTGTTACTATTTGCTCCTTCTATGCCCATCACTTGGTCATGCAGGTTCTGTGCTCTGTGCTGTGAGTCCACTTTAATTTTTTTCCCTTGCCATGACACCAACATTTCTTCCAGTATTATTCATCTAAACAGTATATGCCGTTTATTTAGTAATGTGGCTAGGAACCAATATTCCTTTCTCAGTTCTCTTATTCTCTTAGGGAGTTGCTTTAATGTAATTATTTCTTTGCCTCTATAAAACATGGGTTCATTTTTTGTTATTTTCTAAACAATGTCTCTTACTTTTCTTCACACAAATCTTACATGGACCTCTCTCGGTAATTTATATTGTCTGGCATAATTCGTGTGAACCCTATAGATCTCGTTCAACTCATTTATTATTTTGTCCTTATCCCATTGGAGGGCCTCCGCAATCACTTCTGCCATCACAAATGTTAAATCCTCCTCTCTATCTTCGACCACATTCTGAAATCGCAAGTAGAATGCAGCTCTCTACATCTCCAGATGTGCCACTGTGTTTTCCAGTTCTTTATTTAGTCCCATCATTTTCTGATCCAATGAGTCCAATTTTCTTCTGTCTGTTCTGTTCTCTTCTCTATAGCTGTTATTCGTTGATCATTTTTTTGTATAATTTCTTGAATCCATCTTTTCATCTATTTTTTGAATATCACTTTTTACTTCTCTTTTAATCTCATCCATATCCTTCCTTGTTTCTTCGTGGTTCTTTGTCATACATTCCTGCATTTTTATCATGGTCAAACATTTCTTCTATTGTTCTCTGCGCTGCAGAGGAAGCCGATGGTCCAATCAATGTCGAGGTAGTTTTCTTTCCTGTTTTCAGGTGGTTGTGGTGGTACTAGTCATTTCCTTTAGTATTCTATATTGTTCCCCTAAAATCCTATCTATCTTTTCCCAAATCACCATCCACTTTACTATTCAACTTATTTTCCTTCTCTCCTTTCTCTATCCTCTTCTGTTAAGTTATAAACTAGTCCCCTTTAGTTCATAATATATTATGTCCCAAAAAATAAAAAGAAAAAAAAAGAAAAAGAAAAGAAAAGAATAGAAAAAAACCCAAAAAACTTCTTTGTATAATATAAATACTAACTTGATTAATAAAATTCTATTAAGAAGGAGAATTCATGAATACCTTAATTAATATCTAAGTACTAAAATTCTTATATAGTTACCAATTTATCAATTAAGAAAGTCTAATATTAACTTTAAGTATTTATTTTAAATAATCAATATACCAATAAAAAGGTAGAGGTAAAGAAATGAGAGAAAGAAAAAATAGAGAAAGGGAGAGAGAAAGTAAAAAGACAATAAGTAGTTGATAATAATCTACTATTAGTTAATTATATATGTAAAAGTTACTCTATAGATAAATATATCAATATATAAATTGTATATAAATGTACACAGTACTTTCAATTCTTGTGTGTTTTAAAAGTTCAGATATAGTTCAGATATAGTTTTTCTTTTTTTAAAAAAAAATTGATTTATATGCTGCCCTTCTCCGGAGACTCAGGGCGGCTTACAATGCATTAAGCAATAGCCTTCATACTTTTGTATATTTATACAAAGTGAGCTTATTGCTCCCACAAACTGGGTCTTCAATTTACCTACCTTAGAAAGGATGGAAGGCTGAGTCAACCTTGAGCCTGGTGAGATTCGAACTTACAGTAATTGCAGACAGCTGGTGTTAATCACAATACTATCAGTCTGCTGAGCCACCAGGCTTCTTTCTTGCCGGTCCCACCAGGACCGATCCTCACCCCTAAAGGGTACCAAAACGCTAGAAAATCGGCACTGAGAATGGAGCAATTTTTCCCATGCCACCTCGACCCCATGTCTCCGCCGGAAGTCGCTGCTAGTTTTTAATTTCATCGCCCTAGTCCCTCTCTTTGTTCCAATGGATCTTTAGCTCTTGTCCCTTCTCTGAGGGGCCTTTCCTCTTTGTCTTTTTCTTTATCTTTGTTTTTTGCAGCATCCACCAGTCCTAAATCTTCATCCAATTGTCCACAGAATTGTTGATAAAATGCTTTTGCTTTCTCAATCTAATCAAATCTGTATCTTTTTTCTTGCCATGTCACCATAATCCCTTCAGGTATCAGCCATCTAAAATTCACTCCTTTGAATATTAGGAATTTCGTTAAGAATTGATATTCTCTTCTCAGATCTCTAACCCTATTTGTATTTGTCACAAGACAATAAGTTGTTTATCTCTGTGTTTCAATGTTGAAGTCCTTGCTGCTTGTAATATCTCTGTTTTCATTGCCCTCTTCATGAATCTTACATGAACTTCTCTTGGCAATTTATTCCTTATTGCATATCTAGTATATATTCTAAATGCTTCATCGATTTCATTTAAAATCCTTTTCTGAGGTTGTTCCAGAACTTCCGCCAGAATCTCTGCAATTACTTCTGGTAGATTTTCTCCTTTTTCTTCTTCTATATTCTGAAATCTTAACTAGAATTCGGATCTTTCCATTTCCAGCAGAATAATTGTTCTCTCTTGTGATATATCTGTTGAAATCAGTTTTTCTTCCAACTCCTGCACTTTTCCCCCCCTGTCTTTTCTGTTTTTTCCTCTACTTTCTGGATTCTCTCCTCATTCTTCTCCATTATTTCTTTCATTTCTGTTTTATATCAGTCAGGAGTGACTGCATCAAATTTCACAGTCCTGTTATCTCTGGAGATTTGTGTGTTTCTGCTGCTAATGGGCTTGGTGCTGGTTGTGTAAATTTCTTCATTTTCACTTTTCCTGATATTTATAATCCACTTGTAGTTATAATTCAAATACTTAGTTCAACCAGTGATTGAGTTGCTAGTAATAAAATAAAATAGGGTATAGTAAAATAGGAAGGTTCTCAAATCTTTCCTCCCCTTCCAAAAATTTAATAATAATCATTTTAAAAAAAATTAAAAAAACTCGAAGAGGGGAGAAAAAAGAAAAAAAAAGAAAAAAGAAAAAGAGAGGGAAAACAAAAAAAATTATGACCAACTATCTCAAAAAAGAGAGAAACAGGTAGAAAAAAAAGAAAAGAAAAGGTTAAAAAGTAAAATTATAAATTCAAAATCAACAGTCAGAGTCCATACAAAAAAAAAGAGATATAACAAATCAATTTGATACCTTTTCTCCAGCTGATTCTTCAAGTCTTAATCCGAGGGAAAAATATTTTAAAATCCAATTCTATTAAATCCAGTGAGGGGGAAAAAAAGAGAGAAAAAACAGAAAAAACAGACCTTTAAATATATAGAGAAAAAGAGAAAAAAGGAATAAGTCTAAAATCTTTTTCCACCAGCAATTCTCTAAACATAAATCTAGTCAATCCAAAAAATAGGGGATAATAAAAAAATTAAAATCCAAAAAGTCAGACAATCCGAAAGCTCAGAAAAAAACAACAAAGGGAAATTCAAAGGCAGGTTTCAGTTTCATCTTCACAGCTGTTCTGTTATCATCTAACCAAAATGTCAAGGTCAGTTTTCAGTTTCTTCAAAAATATATGTCTTTTTACTTTCTGCCACTAGATGGCACTACAAGTTCACTTTTAAGATTAAATCCATACTTCCGTCTCTTTTACAATTACAATTTACAATTGTTACAAAGTCCCAATCACTTTCTCTTCTATCCCATTCATAAACAAAAGTATCGTTCGTTCCATTCAGGCAAAGTCTTAGTATCCAATTCCTTTTTTAAGCCAATTTCAAATCCCCAAGTTTTTTTTTTTTCTCCCTTCCCTCGGAGTCTGGTAAAATATCTAAAATGCTTTCTTCCGCCTTCTTCGCAGCTAGATATCCAGATGTGGATTTGGATACACACCCACATCCACTCCTTGGTCAGCCAATCTTTTCCACCCTATTAATCTTTCAGATGGATCAAGAGAAAAATCTCAGAAAATAGTAAAAAATAATAAGAGAATCCTCACCTCGATGTCACAGGTTGTCTCTTTGTTTCCTCTTTTGTCCCAGCTTTTTAGCAACTTCTAGGTTGCTTTCCACCCTGTCTGATTGGAGGAGCTTTTTACGGTCTTTCTAGGGAGATTGCAATCTTCCTTTGTTAACCGGTATGTGCTCCTCTTGCTTATCATCCCTACAGGACAATTTAGGTCACCGAGGACCTTCAGACAGTGGGGATATCGACGGCCCCTTGGGAGCAACCAAGAAGTCCATCTTGCTGCTGGGACGTTGGCCACGGCTCCTCTTCTCTGCACTCTTGAATCTCAACATCTTTTTTATATTGTTGTGACCAAAACTGGATGCAGTATTCAAGTGTGGCTTTACCAAGGCCTTATAAAGTGGTATTAACACTATGTGAACTTGATTCTATCCCTCTGTTTATGCAGCCTAGAACAGGTACTATTATTGAACAAGGTATATACTGTACCTGTGCATTTTGTTTTTCTTGCCTAAATATAAAACCTTACTTGATGAGACAGGTTTTCTTCTAGAAATTCATCTATTGACAGTGAAAGGGGAGAGAAGAGAAAGAAGTAAATCACAGAACTCTAATTAGTGCACTAAATTGTTTATTGAACTTTTTAATAAATACAAATAATATCGAATATCAAAGTTAAATATTTCATTTTAAAACTATTTTCAATACACTGCAAACTGAAATAAAAAACTAATGTAACATAATATTGATAACATTTATTTATTATCTTTTGTCACATATAGTGCAAAAATAACAAAATTATTCTTCTACAATTCATTGACATCAATTTTCAAACTACAAGTTAAACTATATGGATTATATGGAGACCAGTTGTTCAAACTAATATTGTTAATGGTACAAAGCCAATTCAGAGACTTGAAACATTTTGCTTAGTTAGCTTTTAAATTCTGAAAATTAAAACCTGATGTATTAGTAGGCAAATATAAATTTTCTCCAATAATGTTCATTTCAGTCTAAGCTAACTAAATTTTTTGTTTAAACATACTAACTGATGTTACAATGATAATGTCAATAAATATATTTACATATCAAAGTGCTCCAAAATTTTTATAGTTTGAAGATGGGGTTAAAAATCAGGAAAAAATCGAAAGGTCAGCTGTTATAACCATGAGCCGAGGTGGCGCAGTGGTTAGGGTGCAGTACTGCAGCTACTTCAGCTGACTGCTAGTTCAGCGGATCAAATCTCACCGGCTCAAGGTTGACTCAGCCTTCCATCCTTCCGAGATGGTTAAAACGAGGACCCAGATTGTTGGGGGCAATATGCTATTTAGTATACTGTCTTTGGTGTAAGCCGCCCAGAGTCCTTGGAGAGTGGGCGGCAAAGAAATATGAATAATAAAATTAAAATAAAATAAAATAAAATGAAGTATGCAGCTTAGTATCTATTCCAAGGAGATTTCTCATTACAAATGTACTAGTCATTAACAAATATTTTATATATACCGTATGTATCAATCTGTGTCTATTTAGTCAATCTGTCATAGAAGGAATGGCTGATGTGCTGTGCAGATTATAAAACCAAATGACAGGATGAATTTCAGGTCTTCCTTGTTTATGCAAACTATACAGGCTGTTATCTGCCAAGCAGCTGCAGGAAAGTGAAACATGTCTACTTTTATATTAGTAAATCTGTATATTAAGCTTTGTTCATGGAGGTGACATTTAAACTAAGTTCTTCCTACTTCACCAAGTATTAAAAATGAAGATTGATGTAGTATTTTTTAATAATATTCAGGGTATTCCTGAGTAGATCATATAGCAGGGGTGAAATGCTCCCGGTTCGGACCAGATTGCCTGATCCGGTAGCGATGGAGACGGGTGGTTCGGAGAACTGGTAGCAAAAAATCCCTGCCCCTCCCCCATGCCCAGTTGAGCCGGATGGGCGTGGCCATTTTTTTCCTACTTTTAAAGCTTTTTTCTACAACCTCTTCGGCCGAAAAAATGCTTTTAAAAGTAAAAAAAAAAAAGCCTCTGATGATCACGCAGCTCAGCTGGGATTGTCAGAGGCATTTAAAAGAAAAAAAAGGTTTTTTTTCTTTTAAATGCCTCTGACGATCCAAGCTCAATTGATTGCCTGATCATCAGAGCCTTTTGAAAGCATTTTTTTTACAACCTCTTCACCGAAGAGGTTGTAGAAAAAATGGTTTTAAAAGTAAAAAAAAAAAAAATGGCTATGCCCACTCAGTCACATTACCCCCCACCAAGCCACGCCCACAGAACCGGTAGTAACAAATTTTAGATTTCACCACTGTCATATAGCCATACTATTTATTTTGAAAGTAATAACATTTTTCCTTACAATATTTATCTGTTACTAAACAAGTCAAAACCAATTAACACACACCATGCGAGTGAGCTTTTAAGCTGCAGCACCTGGTGGTTTTCTTTTCCTGATATCCAGTACAACATTTTAATCAAACCTTCAAAACTGAACAGTTGTAACAAAGGAAAGGTCTAGTCTAGTCATTTAACAATTGAAAGCTTTAATGAGTATCTTCATATAGGAACAGCAATGATATGATTAAGAATAGGTTTTATCATGGTAGGAAGGTGAGCTTGGATTGGTTGAAACTTAATCCATTGTTGAAATCCTAAATTAGTTGTCGGACAGATGACTGCATTAACATGTTTCATAAACTGCTCATTCATGCATTTTGATTAATTTCACATAAATCAACTGAAGTCAACTAAATTTCAGTATCATTTACCATTTTATCTTTACAAGTATTTACATATATGCAGCTAGCTAGCTAGCTAGATACAAATATTGATATATAAAACTTTTTATTTGCCTTGTATGCTTGGATATTATACTAATTCAGTATACATATGTAAACTTCTATTGTGTATGTTAATTTCTTTGTTTAGAAGCCAATGAATATATTTTTGATAAGAGCCAATATGGTAAAGAAGTTAGAGTATTTGAGTAGAATTGGAATAGAATTGTCTAAAATCAAATGCTCATTCATTCATCATGATCTCTCAACTGGGTATCTGAGGGAAAAAACAGCAAGGCAAAAGAACATATATGAAACTTGAGTTCCTCAAAGAAAGACAGAATAAGGATATAACAAATATCTATCTGCTTTTTGGAACATAAGGTTAATTGGTATGTCCTTCAGGGCTCCAGTAATTTTACACTGATCTGAACTAAATTAAAACAGTCTAAACTGCATACTTTTTGGCTTGTGTTGGTGCTTTTTATTTATAGTACAGGCAAATAAGATAACTTGCAGTAGAAAGAATCCCATCCAATTTTTTTAATTTACCCAGATGATTAGTCATTAAGGAATTAGCATGAACCAAGGCCACTGTTTTCCAGCTATGGGTAAGAAGAAAATAATACTTTCATTAGGATTGCTGTGGGATTGTAACATTAAATCCTTGGGGATTAGTGACATCAGGAGATGTCCTGTACAATGCAAATACTGTGCCAGATGCCACCTTTGAACTCATGCTGAATCCTGCTGAGTTTATCTTAAAGCCTGCTAAAATTAGCAGAAGAGTATTTACCTTTAAAGTTCTTTTTGGTATCAGGTTATTTGAAGGACTGCCTCTCCTTGATTACATGAACTCATCCCACTAGAGCTGGCAGAGAAGGCATACTGCAGGTACCATCTGCCAGGGACTTATATTTGAGATCTGTCTTTGTCATCAGGCCTGGGAATCCAAGGTATCCAGATGATACCAAGGTATCAAATATATCCAAGGTATCTAGATGATATCTTAAGATGGTTCTAGCATTATACTTAATTGACTCTATCCTGTACCGGATTGTTGTATTTTTAATAGGGCTGGTTTTAATAATTGTTCTTATCTATTTATTGTTTATTTTAATGGCTGTATGCTACCCAGCATCACTTTGTGTGAGATAGGTGGATGGATGGATGGATGGATGATAGATAGATAGATAGATAGATAGATAGATAGATAGATAGATAGATAGATACAGTTGTTCTTATAAGTTTACATACCCTGGCAGAATTTATGATTTCCTGGCCATTTTTCAGAGAATATGAATGATAACATGAAAACCTTTCTTGCACTCATGGTTAGTGTTTGGCTGAAGCCATTTATTATTAGTCAACTGTGTTTACTCTTTTTCAATCATAATGACAACAGAAACTACCCAAATGATCCTGATCAAAAGTTTACATACCCTGGTGATTGTGGCCTGATAACATGCACACAGGTTGACACAAAGGGGTGTGAATGGCTATTAAAGGTAACCATCCTCACCTATGATCTGTTTGCATGTAATTAATGTGTGTGTATGAAAGGTCAATGAGTTTCTGACCTCCTGACAGACCCTTGCATCCTTCATTCAGTGCTGCACTGAGGTTTCTGGATTCTGAGTCATGGGGAAAGCAAAAGAATTGTCAAAGGATCTGCAGGAAAAGGTGGTTGAACTGTATAAAACAGGAAAGGGATATAAAAAGATATCCAAGGAATTGAGAATGCAATAAGCAGTGTTTAAACTCTAATCAAGAAGTGGAAAATGAGGGGTTCTGTTGAAACCAAACCACGGTCATGTAGACCAACTAAACTTTTAGGCACAACTGCCAGGATGCAAAGAAAAACCCACAAATAACTTCAGGTGAAATACAGGATTCTCTGAAAACATGTGATGTGGCTGTTGCAAGATGCACAATAAGGAGGCACTGGAAGAAAGATGGACTGCATGGTCAAGTTGCCAGAAGAAAGCCATTACTATGCAAATACCACAAAGTATCTTACTTACAATACATTAAACAGCACAGAGACGAGCCTCAAACCTTCTGGCACAAAGTCATTTGGAGTGATGAGACCAAAATTTAGCTTTTCGGCCACAACCATAAACACTACATTTGGAGAGGAGTCAACAAGGCCTATGATGAAAAGTATACCATTCCTACTGTGAAATACGGAGGTGGATCACTGATGTTTTGGGGATGTGTGAGTTACAAAGGCACAAGAAATTTGGTCAGAATTGATGGCACGATTAATGCAGTATGTTATCAAA